GTGCTGTTCCTTGTTATTTTCCTCCTGACCCTGATGGGGAATCTGATGCTGCTGCTGGTGATCGGGTTTGATCCCCGTCTTCACATCCCCATGTACTTTTTCCTGAGGCAGTTGTCCTTCCTCTATCTCTGCCACTCCTCTGTCACTGTGCCCAAGCTGCTGGAGAATCTGCTCTCTGAGAAGAAAACTGTCTCAGTAGAGGGCTGCCTGGCGCAGGTCTTCTTTCTGTTTGCCTCTGGGGGCACTGAATCCTGCCTACTCGCTGTGATGGCATATGACCGCTATGTTGCCATCAGTTCTCCTCTGCTCTATGCCCAGGTGATGAACAGACAGCTGTGTATGGGGCTGGTGTGGGCCTCATGGAGTTTGGCTTTTCTGGATGCTCTTATCAATATCCTTGTAGCTCTCAAATTAGACTTCTGTGAGGCTCAAGATATCCACCACTTCTGCTGTGAGCTGTCCTCTCTTTACCCTTTGTCCTGCTCTGATGTGACTGCAAGTTTTATTGCCCTGCTCTGCTCTAGCGTCCTGCATTTCTTTGGAAATTTTCTCCTGGTATTTTTCTCCTATGTTCGCATTTTGTCCACCATCCTGCGCATCAGCTCCTCCACAGGCAGAAGCAAGGCCTTCTCTACCTGCTCCTCCCACCTCACTGCTGTGATCTTCTTTTATGGCTCAGGACTTCTCCGTTATCTCATGCCAAATTCTGGATCCATTCGAGAGTTAATCTTCTCCTTGCAGTACAGTGTGATCACCCCCATGCTGAATCCCCTCATCTACAGCCTGAAGAACAAGGAGATGAAGGCTGCTGTGAAAAGGATGTTGAGAAAATATTTCTGGTGCTTCAAATAATAACATCAGAATGATGAGGATTCTGGGTAGAACTCCGATAAGTGGTGCCTGGATATTCAGGAGAATTCTCTGATATCAGGATCTGTAAGGTGCCCTACAGCTTTTCTTAAAAATACTTAAGCAGAATTAGAGTTAATTTTCTTGGAATGATACCAGTTCAGTCCTAGTCAGAGCAAGGGGGAGGGAGGTATAGCAATTATTCCTATGAAAATATTCAATGTATTACACACAGTATGGTAGACAATGCAATTATACTCTGTCTACCTTGCCACTCTTCAAACTAAACTCCATTTGCTCAATATGTTTCCATAGAGACTATTAATCATAGATTCTGTTAATCATGGTGACCCCTAATTCTTCCCATCCCTGCTTAATATTCATTCATTCTTCCTGGCACAGTGGCTGGTACAGGAATGAGTACATGGTCAATGTCAGACCATTCACTCTGTAGGAATTTTAATGAGAGATTCAGAGAGGCAGAGGCCAGCCATTCTGTTTGCAGTACTCTGACAGCCAATCCCAGTGGCTCACTGATAAGATCACTGGTGTTATCCAAGATTCTGCCTTTTCAAGGAAGATTTATAAACATGAATTATAATAAGAACACATGATCAGACTGTGCTGAGCATTTTACATATATGATCCACTTAAATACCACAAGTGCTTTAGGGAAATGCTTTAGTTATCGTTATTATAAGAAGAGGGAGGAAACTGCGTCCTAGAGGTAAGTGGTGGGGATGGAATTTGGAACCAAATGGACTTACCCCAAGTCTGTTTTTTTTACCACCTTGCCACACTGACTCTCCCCTTGATGGTGTGAGCTTCCCCAGACCCAGTTCATGAATTCCCTTGTTAATGCTTTATTGTTGTTGTCTTAATTTACTTTGCTTAGATTCTGTCTTTTGCAAGGAAAAGACTTAAAAGACATATATTGGTGCCACCATGGAATTGCAGGTATAGACATCCAAAGACAGTGGAGAAATTTGAGATTTTTTTGTTGGATGTATGTGTGTCCAATAGAGACCACAGATAGCACATTTGTTTATCCTCTTCAAACCAATTACCTAATAGCCAAAATTCCTGTGAAGGGGCTCCATGACAAGAGAAGATTCCCCAGCTCATGCACACTGCTAGACAAGTAGGTCTGCCAATCAGCCCAGTGATGCTATAAAAATGGCAGAACACAAGAGCATCAATAGCAGAGCAAACGCTGCACAAGGCCAGTGGCAATTCCAAAAAGAAACCAATAGAATTTCAGCAGAGGTCCCTTAGATCATGAAACTCAGTTGGAGAATTAGTGAGAAGGAGATTTGGGAGAGATGTGTGGGTGAAAATTATGCAAAAAATTAATTATTGTCCTTTCCAATCTGCCATCCGCAATGGAGTCACCACCAAGATGCAGGTTTTCATGAAAACCCTTAAGGGGAAGACCATCACTCTGGAGGTTGAACCCTCGGATACAATAGAAAATGTAAAGGCCAAGATCCAGAATAAGAAAGGAATTCCCTCTGATGAGCAAAGACTGATTTTACTTAGCTGGCAAGCAACTGGAAGACAAATGTACTTTGTCTGACTGCAACATTCAAAAGGAGTCCACTCTACATCTTGTGTGGAGACTTCTTGGTGGTGCTAAGAAAAGGAAGAAGTCTTACTCCCAAGAAGAATAAGCATAAGAGAAAGAAGGTTAAGCTGGCTGTCCTGAAATACTACAAAGTAGAGGGGAATGGCAAAATTAGTTGCCTTTGTTGGAAGTGCCCTTCAGATGAATGTGGTGTTGGAGTTTTTATGGCCAGGCACTTTGACATACATTATTGTGGCAAATGTTGTCTGACCTATTGCTTCAACAAACCAGAAGACAAGTAATTGTACATGGTTAATAAAAGACATGAACCAAAATATAAAAAATTAAAACAAATGAATTATTATTTCTTTTTGAAATTAACCTTTTGGTTTTTGCTTATTTACAACCTGTCAAATGTCATTGTCCCCTTCACTTTGCACTCTCCAGCCACAGAGAACAAAAACTCAAAGAGGTTAAGGACATTTTTTGACATTTTCACTACATTTTAAAGAATATTTTAATTTTAAAAATATGCTTGTTGCACAATAAGTAAATTTTGAATGTGTCAATTATGGGTAAAGAAATGAGAATACATCTAGGATGGAGTCTCACCAGAGGGGCCTTACTGCCAAAGCAGTTGGAAATAATTATATGAGTAGAATAGTCTACTATGTGAGTCAAATCTCTTTCTTCCATGTTAGTCTAGTTCTGGGCCATGAACTCACCGTTTGGCCAGGCCTGGGCAAGGTGATAGTTATGCAAAGGTTCAACAAGATTTTCATGCATGAATGCTGTTCTGCTGTTTCCACTGGTGAAGTTTATTTAGATAAAGGTCATATGCAACTTTTGCTAGCTATATTACCAAATACATTCTATTTTTTGTTTCTAGTGTGAGTTAAAAATTCAACTGCATTTATCACTTGTACACTGACCTTGTATCTGTCAAGTTTGTTGAGCTATTTTCCTAGTTCTAATGGCTTGTTTATAAATACTATTGGATTTCTAATTATTTTGTCTTAAATAAAAGGAAATTAGATATTCATGTTGTATCTTAAATTACATTTCACATTTTAATGATTTCCTCTTAAATAAAGGGAAAAATTTATTTTTCTATGTAATTTGTATATATTTCATATCTTAAAGTTAATTCACTGGCCTGGACCTCTAGTACAGACATCTTTTTTATTGGGATCAGTGAGAAAGTTTCTCATGTTTCAGCATTAAGGATAATGTTTGTTCTGTTTCTTATCAGTTTTGACTTAGTATATGAGCTCTCTTCTAACCATATTTTGCTGAGAATTGATGTAAAATTTTATCAAATTTTTTTAAATTTCTATTGAGTACCAGTACTTTTTCCCTTTTGTTTACTAATATATAATGTGTGTCACATAATAAGCATGCGATAAATAACTGTTTACTAAAAAATAAATTTATCAAAATAGTCATGGTTTTTATTATTTGACTTTTTAAATATTTTTGTATTGATTTCAGAGAGGAAGGGAAAGGGAGAGAGAGTTAGAAAAATCAGTGATGAGAAAGAATCATTGATTGGCTGCTTCCTGCACCTGCCCTATTGGGGATTGTGCGTGCAACCTGGGCATGTGCCCTTGACTGGAATCGAACCTGGGGCCCTTCAGTCTGAAGGCAGGCACTCTATCCACTCAGCAAAACCAGGTAGGAAATTATTTGGCTTTTAATAATAAATTGTATCAGTAGGTGTTCTGGTGTTGAAGAATTTTTGCATTCCTGAAATCACCCTACTTAGATAGAGTAGTAAAAATAGAATTAACTTTCATCAGTATTTAACTTAAGAATTTCCTATTTATGTCCATAAGTGAGATAGTATATATTTTTTTCTTATATTCATCTGGTCTTTTCTTTTTAACAGCCTAAATGACATGTTTCACACATCACAATGTTCACCTATTCAATACAATGTCATGGTCTCTAGCACATTCACAGAGTTGTGCAACCGTCACCACAACCCGATCCTAAAACATTTTCATTACCCCCATTCGTATGGGCAGTAATAATCCAAACCCTCCCCCTAATCTATTTTTTGCCCATATAGATTTTCGCATTTCAGACATTTGATCTTGGCATTAATAGTATGCTTTCTTTCATCTTGTATTTCCTTAAAATATTTTCATTAAAAAGCGGTTTTCTTGAAGGCTTTGTAAAACTCATCTATAAAGTTCTGAGGACTTCTTGTCTTTTGTTGTTGTAGAGGGAACATTTTGATTGCCAACTTAATTCCTTTAATGATTAGTGGTATATTTGGGTTTGATATTTGTTCATGAATCAATTTTAGTAATTTGTAATTTTTGCCCATTATTCATATAATGTATTACACTTCATTGATTTTTCTTTCTATGTCTATTTCTTTCACCAGGTGAGGGAAGTTTTCTGTTATTACTTTTTCAAATAGATTTCCAATTTCTTGCTCCATCTTTTATCCTCCTGGCACTCCCATTATGCGAATGTTGGTATGCTTGAAGTTGCCCTAGAGACTCCTTATACTATCTTCATATTTTTACATTCTTTTTTTCTTTTTGCTGTTCTGATTGGGTGTTTTTGCTTCTTTATATTCCAAATTCTTGATTTTATTCTCAGCATCCTCTACTCTACTATTGATTCCTTGTAAATTATTCTTTATTTCAGTTAGTATATCCTTCATTTCTGATTGGTCCTTTTTCATGTTGTTGATGTTCTCACTAAATTCCTTGAAGTTCTCACTAAATTCCTTGAAATGCTCAGTAAGTCCCTGTAAAGTTTGTCAAATTAATTTAAAAACAAATGAGTATATGCTCCAGTTTATTCTAATTAATGCTATTTTTCATTTTACAACTGCAATGTGATGAAAACTTATTTTTTTCTTTCATTCTACTCTTAAGAATTGTCTAGAAAAGTAAATTCAAGTAGAGGTTATGTGAGGATGAGGAAAAATAGAGGGTTCTCAGCCAAGGTGCTACAAAGAGTAAGTTGTATCTGTTCTGCAGAAAGTCTCTCAGATAGGGAGTGATTCCAAAGCCATCATCCATAGTTGCGGGATTGCCTGGGGCATCCTTATAACCATTGTTTTGAACTCTGTATCTGATAGATTTCTTTCTTCTGTTTTTTAAGTTATTTTTCTGAAGATTTCTCCTGTTCTTTTGTTTGTATCTACGTTTTGGCTCTGTTTGTTTCTATGTATTAGGTAGACCTGCTAGATTTTTCAGACTCAGTAGAGTGGCCTTGTGTAGTAGGTGTCCTGTAGGGCCCAGTGGTTCAGCCTCCCCAGGCACCAGAGGTGGGCACCCTTTGTGAGCTGTGTGCACTGTCCTATTGTAGTTTAGCCTTGATTGATGTTGGCATCACTAGGAGGAATTGACCCCTAGCCCAATCAGTTGTGAGGATAGACTGCAACTATAGCAGAAGAGCTGCTGTGTAGGAGCTGATTCTATGGAGTGGGACTTGCTTCAGTGGGGCTTTGGTGCTCACTGAGTCCGCCCCTTAAGTATGTCACTCGGGGAGGTGGTGGGTTGTAATCCAGCATGGTGAAAGCTGACCACCAGGTACACTGGCTCTGGAACCTCCTGAGAAGTGCAAAGTCATCCATTCCCTGTGCTCTGCCTGGGGCTACACAGCATGAGCTATAAAGCAATCTGCAGATGGCTTCTACTTGTGTTGGGCTTGGGGGTGTCCAGGAGAGGCCAAGGTGTGAACCAGTGCTTAGCCTGGGGCCACTTATTGAGAGGTATGGGGCATGCTGAGGCCAGCTGCTATATATTTGAAAGATTTTAGGGAAGTTCAAAGCATGAGGCCTGAGAGACCAGTTGTATGGAAAAGATACTGGAAATGGCCTAGTGGAGCTTGCAAGTAAGGAGGGGCAGGGGATTACTAGGATGGGGTAAAAAGTATGAGCCAGGTTGATGGAGATTCATATGTGGCAACTGCCTGTTGGCTCTGTTGTAGGGATGGCTCAGCA